TGTTTATGTGTGTGGATATCTGGGTGTGCACAAGTGTGAATACATGTGTGTGCTCATGTTTGTGGAAGCCAGAGGACAATCTTAGGTGTCATTCTTTAAATACCATGTATTTCCTCCTTTTCTTCCTCTTTTTTCTCCTCCTCCTACTTCTTTTTCCAAATCTCTCTCTGGTCTGAAAGTCACCAAATAGCCTAGGCTGGCTGACAGCAATCCCAGGGATCTTCCAGTCCCTACGTCCCCAGGACTGAGATTACAAGCATGTTCTACAACACACCAATTTTTGTTTGTTTAAGATGACATATGTAGATTGAGCGCAGGCACTCAAGCTTAAAAAGCAGACATTTTACCAACTAGTCTATGTTCCCAGACCAATATTTACTTAATTTTTTGCAATCCTAGGGATGAATAAAAGCTTCATGTATGCTGGGCAAGCACTGTCATTAAGTCACATCTTCATCCCTTTACTATTTTCAAAAGGTTTATTTTAATTGTGTGTGTGTGTGTGTGTGTGTGTGTGTGTGTGAGTGTGTATGCTCGTGAGATATACATATATAAGGGAAGGTGACCAAAGAGTTTAGAGGAGGGTCTTAGATCCCCTCGAGCTGGAATTAACAGGTGGTCATGAGCTGTCTGACATGGGAACTATTGCAAGAACAGCTGGGGCTCTTAACTGCTGAATCATCTCTCCAGCCCCTTGTATGTTTGAGACAAATTATTGCTATATATCCCTGACTGACCTGGAGTTCTCTAACGCGGTAAATAAGGATCAGGATAAACAAATAGGCCGAATAGATGTTTATTCAGGGAGAAATAACTTACAACCTAGACAGATGAACACCAGGAAATTCAACCCGATCCTCTCCTGTCCGAGTCACGCCAGAAAGAGAGCGCCTTTCCTGGCCCCCTCCGACCTCCTCCCACAGGTCACTCCACCCATGGCTCCACCCACAATGGGCGTGGTCAGTGCCACAGAACTATCTCACTACAATTCCCCTTTTAGTCTAAAGAAAAGATTTAGGCTTAATACAAAACTATATACAAAACAGTGAATAACAAGTGTGCTCTAAGAAAAGGAAAATCGAGAACAAAATGACCTACATATCTAGTCCTAGGGTGAGGGCAATATGGAGTTTACAATAGAGTTGTCCTAAGCTGGAAAATGTAAGTCTAGCACCTAATATATCTAACTAGGAAGAGAGAATAATAGTTGTGATAGTTTAATCTTCAACCTCATCCAGACCTGAGAAGGAAATTAACAATACTAGAGTAGACAGGAAAAGCAGATGGACAACTTCCAAAAGGTGCAGCAAGGACAGAAACAGCAAGCCACCTGAACAGTCACCCTAGGTCTCACAGCAACATTGGTACACCCAGATTTGGCTAAGGCCAAGAGAACTTGACAGACCACAACAACAGCAGGGAGGTAGAATGGCTGTCTTACCCTGACTTGGCAAGGTCAAGCAGTCTTCTATATTTGTCTCCTGCAAGCACATAGGACTGCATGTCCAAATCAGTGGTCAAGGTGGGGGCAATTCTTTGCCCAACAGGCCATTAGCTGAGGCGAGATTGAACTCCAGCAGGAGCAACAACAGTGTCCAACATATTTTCGGGAAAGTGCACGGTGCTGTCAGGAGCAACAGTGTCTCATGTCAATGGAGTACTAATATTAAAACATTTAAATGCCATGTTCTGCATGTCTACGAAGTGATTGAAGATTAAGCATCTATATCTGACTAATCTCATAGGTACAGGAAATGTGAGTGAAGATAATCTGTAATACTCGGGAACTTAGCTAAAAAGACTGATTAAAACTTCCCTGAGTAAAGCAGGAACAAATACTTAAACAATATAACTATTTACATATACATACATGTAAATCCCTAAAATAGAGGTAGAGTATGTCAAGACAAGAGGTAGAACTATGAAGGGCAGCAAGATAAATATCCCAAATTGTATCATTATACAAAATGTCTTGAATACAAGAAAAGTATACATACATAGAATATGGTAAAAAAATAATGCGCATAAAACATTGTAAGTGGAAAGATTTAACACAATATAACAAAATATAAACTTAATTTTACATAGCTTACCACATAAAAATACACAATATGTAAGCTGTAAAATACTATCTCCTTACTCAAATTCTCAAGAAAATAGGCTAATCTACCTATATCCCATCTAAACCATACCTTTCCCAACCATTCCCTATTCCTGTCTAAAAGATAAACCCGAGTGTAAGCATCACCCAATCCCAAATAACTAAAACCAACCCAAAGACGATGACTATTATCCCAAAATTCCAAGGGTAGGGAAAGGGGGCGTCGTTATTTTAAGATTACTTCCTGCTGAAATGGGATGATGATTGCTCCAATGGATCCTGTAGGAAGAAAATTTTTAGCAACCAAATTTCTCAACAGAACTGGCTGTGACATATGTAGCTAGTCACTGTGTGGCAGAAAATTCTTGACTGTAGTTCTATTTGAAACTCTGGCCAGGGTATAATAAAAAGGTGCACCATTACAGCTAGCTAGTCATGAGTTGTCTCGAGCAAAACAGTCTCAAACCGGTTTTAGGGTGATGTTTATAGTTCCGATGCATCAGGTTGAGTCAAGTGGAAACGATGATGTGGGGCTCCATCTTCTTTCCGGAGAGTTCAAAGACTGTTGTTAGGAATTGTTATTATTCCTTGTGGAAAAGTTACACATCAATATTAAAGTAAAATTTTCAAGTTTTAAGGTATGCATTAGGGAAAGACAACAATAAGCATTAAAAGTATGTGAGAAAATTAGGATTTCAGAGAGAAAATTGTAAGATATGAGTCCCCAGATTTTGTTTTTTTCTGCCTTACACCAATTGGAGAACCATGAAGACCAGTCTGGTTTCAAACTCAGAGATCCACCTAACTCTGATTCCCTCAAGTGCTGGGACTAAAGATGTGGGCCAGCATTTCCTGCCCTATAAATGTTTTTTTCCTTTCAAAAAAATCAAGCATGGGAGCCAGGTAGTGGTGGTGCACACCTTTAATTCCAGTACTTAGGAGGCAGAGGCAGGGAGATCTCTGTGAGTTTGAGGCCAGCCTGGTATACAGAGCTAGTTCCAGGACAGCCAGGACTACACAGAGAAACCCTGTCTTGAAAAACCAAAATCCAACACCAAACCAAACAACAACAACAAAAAAAAATTGTAATTCTAGCACTTGGAAGGCAGAAACAGAAAGATTACCTTGAAATCAAAGCTTGTGTGAGCTACAGTATGAGACTGCATCTTTAAAAAAAAGAAAAAAAGAAAGAAGCATTCAGTGCTTAAGTCGCTAGTTTTGGAGCCATTTCTCATATAGCAACAGATCGCTAGCAAGGCCCATGCAGACTTGAGGATGTACTGAGCCTCCCAGAAGCTTGTGCTAGCCGGCTAGCTGTGTTTACACATTTGGAGCTGCACAGAAAGTGCCTGGTGCTCTCCAAACCCCAGCATTCCTCCCACTGCTTTGGGTCTGTTTATGTTTTTAAGCAAATGCAGGATCAAACTACAATGACAATTCTAGTGCTAGATTCTAGTTTTTCTGCCTAAGATGTTGAAAACATCATCTCCTCTTTAGGATGACTTTGTGGAGTCAATTCTCTTCTACTTTTATGTGAAACACAGCTCACCAGTGCTAAATGGCAAGTAAGTGCCTCTGCCATCTGGCTGGCCCTCCAAAATATTCTTTCTTCTTAGAAGCTCTTTGGTAGTCACCAAATGAGCAATACTCTAAGCACAGCCATTTCATATTTGAGCAGAAGATTGAGGGTTGCTCTCTGGGCCCTTTTCTAACAGCATGTGTCTGTCCTTCTGCTCAGGGTTTACAATCAGAGTGTAGGAAGAAGTAGCCATGGTGGTTCATGTCTTTAATCTTAGCATTTGGGATGCTGAAGCACAAAGATTAATGCAAGTTCAAGGCTAACCCAGACTGCATAGTGAGTTCCTGGGCAAGTCTGGACTACCCAGTGAGAATCCTGATGACTATATGCCTAAGCAAATCCATCTTATCTCTATTTTGCTTTTTTTAAGTGTGTGTGTGTGTGTGTGTGTGTGTGTGTGTGTGTGTGTGTGTGTTCATGTGTGGAAGGCAGAAGACAACCTCGGGTGTTGGTCCTCATCTTCCACCTTGTTTGAGGCAGACTCTCTCTACTGCATATGTTGGGCTAGCTGGCGCTGCAAGGAGTGACCATGGGTTCTCCAGTCGTCATCATCCCGCAGCTGAAGTGATAGGATTGCATGCTCCTGGGCTTGGCTTTACTAGGGCTCTGGAGATTAGAATTTGGGTTCTTGGGCTTAGACAAGCACTTTTCCCACTGAGCCATCTCTTCTCCAGGCCAGCTCCTTCACTATGCTATTGGAAGTCAGTTGAACTAGGTACTCTATGAGGAATGCCTCTTTCAGGACTCCAGATCTCTCTTTTTTCCTTAAGAAAATTATTATTGGGGGGGGGGTGAGGCACATGTACCATGGCTGCTGGAAGTGTTTGGAGGACAACTCTGGAATCAATTCTCCTTCCCACCATTTGGGTTCCAGGGCTCCAACTCAGATTGCCAGGCTTGCATGGCAGGTGGCTTATACATTGAGCCATCTGTCCAGTCTAATCTTTCTCTTTGTGAAGACCTTGTGGTTTCAACACTTAGAGTGTATGGGCTAGAGAGCTATCTCTGGTTAACACCAGTTGTTTGTGCAGACACTATAGGTTCAGTTCTGAGAGTCCACATGATGGCTCACAACCATTTGTAACTCTAGTCCCAGAGGATCTGATGGCCTCTTCTGACCTTCACAGGCACCAAGTATGCATATGGCACACATATGTACATTCAGGCAAAATGCTAATACTCATATTTTTGTTTTGTTTCTCTCCCTACAGCCCTGGCTGTCCTGGAACTGACTATGTAGACCAGACTGTCCTGGAATCCACAGACTTCCGCCTGCCTCTGTCTCCTCAGTGCTAGGATTAAAGGAGTGTACTACTCTCTTTCTCTCTCACACATACACACACACACATTTATATAGATATATATGTTTATATAATACATATAATCAACAGAATATAACCAGTTCTCAACAATCTGGAAAAGCAAAGAGGCCTGGGAAACACTTTACATGTGCCAAGATGTGTGTTCTAACCCAAGAGCAGGAACGAGTCCACTTCTGACACACCATCTCACTCAGCTCCATGTGTGAAGACATGGTGAAGAGTTCAAGGCACTTTGGGGTACTGAGTATGAATGACTGCCCTTTCAGAGCTAATAGCCCTGCACAGCTCCCACCCACGCTCCCAGCTGTCATGGCCCCAGTCCCAAGAGTCATGAAGGAACCACTTTAGGGGAGACCGAGGATAATGGGATCTGGTACCATACAGGGCTGGGAGAGCCACCAAGAAAAACACAGGCAACATGACAGCCAGGTTCAAGGCTCTTGTGTCACCCCCTACCCCAATCATCATTTCATTTTCTGTAGCCACTGGTGAGGGAGAGGATGGCTTTGCTTGGTCCACAGCGTTAGGCACTTAGTAACTCGATCAGAAATAGAGGAGCTACCTGGGTGCTGAGGCTGCTTCAAGAACCTAGGGAAGGCAGCCCAACTCTAGATACGGCCTAGAATTGGACTTTTGCAGAAGAGAGCAGTGGAAAGGCTGTGAGAGGGTGTGGGCTAGGGTCCACAGACAGCTTCTGCCAATCTGCCGAGGAGCCAGACAGTGCAGGCAAGCGCTCTATCTTTTGTAGACACTCTGGTCCCAGAGCAGCTGGAGGGTTAGAGGAGGATGCCAGCCTGAGGGTCTGTGGAGAAACCACCTGGTCTGGGGGGCTGGGCATGAGGGCATCAAACTTAGAGAAAGACCCCAGAAGGCTGGAATCAGGGGGTGATGCGGGCAGTACAGGGCTGGGGGATAGCTGGGTTAGAGGGGACCTCACTATAAGAGAGTCAACAGGCAGTGAGGGCAGTGGAGAAGGAAGGAGGCCAAGAGACTCATGTAAGCATGGACCTGGAGTGCGTTGATGGGCTCGGGAAGAGGAGCCAGGAGTCTGGAGCAGGCCCAGCTGTTCCTGAGAGCCAGGGTATCCATAGGAGGCAGGTTGTCCTGAGCATTGCTCAGCCTGGACTGGGCATCCAGGGGGCAGCAGAGCAGGGCAGGAGCCACAGTCCACTCGGCACAGGCGTTCATGGAGATGCAGCGTCCGGCCCCATCGTGCCAGCTCATCCTGCAAGACCTGGATCTCCTTCCGAAGGGCATGGTTGTGTTTCTCCAAGGACTCATGCTGCTGAGGGAGAAGCAGGTGGCAGAGAGGGATGTTAGCATCAGGACCCTGTGCAAGGTACTCACTGCTGTGGGGTATGAATACCCAGGTAGAACCTCTTGGGTACTCATCATGTACCTCTTTGGTGGACTCATTATGTCCATCTACTCCACATCTCCAGAGCTGGAACTTTCCTCTCTGCGCACTCTGGGTCCTCTGAGAAGCGCCCCTTCTCACCCAGGATCTCCACCTGGCCTTTAGCTGCCCCCCATCTCCTGTCACTTCACTGGCACATTCAGTGACTGTGTCTTGTCTGATGGATTTGGACTGTATCTTTGTTTGGTTAGGGAGGGGACATTATAAACAAATGAGGAGGTGACAGGAAGATGTTGGGTATCTTCTACTGGTCTCTGCCTTATATTCCTTTAAGTCTGGGTCTCTCTCTAAGCCCGAGGCTGGACATTTTGTCAGCAGGCTCCTGAGATGTGCCTGTTTCTGCCTCTAATGCTGCAGTTACAGGCCATACCCAGCATTTCTAAGATGGTGATGGAAACTTAAACTCAGGCCTTCATGCTTGCACAGCAATTGCTCTTACCTACTAAGGCATCTCCCCAGGTTTTTTGAGATAAGTTTTTCCTTTATAGCTCAGGCTAGCCTTGAACTTGCTGTATCCCTCCTTGAGTCAGTCTCCCAAATTCTGGGACTATAGGCATGCACCACCGTGCTCTTCTGTGACATTAAAGGCTCCAAAGACTCCAGGGTTTGAATGTACTACTGGGAATCTCAAGACTTCTCTCTCTTATTTGTTTGTTTTTTGAGACAGGATTTCACTGTGTTGTGTGGCCCTGGCTATCCTGGAACATATACTGTAGACCAGGCTGGCCTTGAACTCAAAAAGATTGGCCTGTCTCTGCCAAGGGCGTGTACCACCACCACCCAGATCAAGGTTTTTCTTAACTCCTGTCCTTCCCCTAGAATCTGCTTCTTTCACACAGTTGCTCTCTGCTCTGCCTAGACACTTTGAACCCTGCCCCCATTATACTCTTAATATGGCCTTGGCCGGGCAATTTCAATGTCATTCTTTCCTGGATTCATTGAGTCTGCTAAAGGCCAGCTCTTAGCCTTCAGGTTCCCAGAAGGCACCAACAAGGGGTTCAAGGCACTGTTGCATTGGTTGGCAGGTACCCCTGAGTCAGCATTTTCTAAGCCCTGTAGGTTCAGGACGATCATCAACAATTTTGTTTTGTTTTTGAGAGTTTCCTATAGCCAATGCTGGTCTTGAGCTCCTGATCCTCCTGATCACAACACAAGCCGCCATGCCCAACCCCATGGTTCTCTTTGTGAAACTGTCACTCCTCTTGAATTAGCTCTCCACCTGGACATGTGCATCATGCAAGGATTGTGAGTCTATTTTCTTCTTTCTTCTTCCTGTTTTTCCTTTCTTTCTTTCTTTTTTTTTTTCTTTTTTTCTTTTCTTTTCTTTTTTTTTTTTTTTTTTTTTTTTTTTTTTTTTTTTTCTTTTTTCTTTTTTCTTTTTCTTTTTGACATTTTGGGGGAGAGGCATTTGCTATGACCCATGTATGGAGATCAGAAGGCAACTAGTGGAACTAAGATCTGTCCTCCCACTACTCAAACTCCAGGGACCAGTTTCTGCATGAAGTGTGGTGTAGGCTTGGTTCTGAAAGGCTTCAGAGCCCCAGCAGCCCCATTTGCACAGTGGCTTCTGCAGATGGAAAAGACATTTCTTTCTTCTTTTTTTTCGGGAATTTAAAACGTATTTTATTTATGTATGTATTTATTGTGTTGTGTGTATGTGGGCACATCCACACCACAGTGCAAGTGTGGGGTCAGAGGACAACCTTCTGCCGTCAGTTCTCTTCTCCACTGTATGGATCCTGAGACTGCACTCAGGTCCTCAGGGTGTCCTAACCTGCTGAGCCCTCTCTACAGCCCCAGAATGGATATTTCTAATGGGGGACATAGCTCAATTGGTAGAGTGCTCACTTAGCATAATTGAAAACCCAAGATCAATCCCTGGAGCCACATAAACTGGGCGTGGTGGCACACGCCTGTAATTCTAGCACAGGAGAGGCAAGGGCAGGTCAGTGAACTGGTCTTCCAGAAGATCCAAGTTCAACTCCCAGTACTCTATTTCCAGGAGGATCTGACATCTCTGGCTCCTGGGGCACTGTATCTATAAGCCCATAGACACACACACACACACACACACACACACATATATATATACATACATATATATGTGTATATACATGTATATACATATAATACACACACATATACATATATTAAAAATAATTCAAGTGTGTTAGTGATTGTCTTTAATCCCAGCACACAGGAGGCAGAGCAGGCAGATCTCTGTGAGTTCCAGGCCAGCCTGATCTACATAGTGAATTTTAGGACAGCCAGGGCTATACAGAGAAATCCTGTCTCTAAATAAATAAATTAAAATTAAATGAAATAAAAAGTAAGCCAGTCTAGTGAGGTACGGTTCAGCACGTACCACACTATGCCACACAAGCCTGATGACCTAAGCTTGATTCCTAGGGCCCATACAAACAGGGAAGAAAAAAAACTGACTTCACAAAGTTGTCCTGTAGCCTCCACATGCACCCATACTTACATTAACAGTCAATTAAAATCTAATAAATAAAAGCAGAGGCTGGAGATGTAGCTCGCGGTGATGGAGAGAGAGCACTTGTCCAGCAGCATGACTTGATTTGGAGTTGTGCTTCCCAGCATCCAGATCACCAGATGAATGCTGAACTATGTGCGGTTTAAACCAATCTGTGGTGCTTGGTACGGTGGCCGAGTGAGTGAATGTGTCCTCCCCCACTATTTGCTTCCAGAGCTCTTTATCCTGATGCTGCCATTTACTTTACAGTAAACTGTGGAGCCTCCTTTTTTTCTGCCAGGCCCTGTTATAGGTGATTTCAAGCAGAATGGAATGGGACAGTTCCCTGCCTTCACAGCACCTGGAGTCTCAGGAGAGAAGCAATATGGAGGATACAAGAGAAGGCCACTGTGAAGGATGACTGATTGGGCTGGAGAGATGGCTCAGAGGTTAAGAGCACTGTCTCCTCTTACAGAGGTTCTGAGTTCAATTCCCATCAACCACATGGTGGCTCACAAACATCTATAATGAGATCTGGTGCCCTCTTCTGGAGTGCAGAACTATATATAGGCAGAACACTATATACATAATAAGTTAATTTTAAAAAAAGAAAGAAAGATGACTAATCTACTCACAGGTTAATGGATTCAAGGCAATAGTGTGGAGCAATAGTGTGGATATGGAATGAAGGCCCCTGTGAAGGATGGACTGGTCCACTCATGGGCTAATGGGTTATGTTTCTGGCATACCCCTTCCTCACCAGGTCATGTCCTCACTCTACCATGACTCCTCAAGAGGCCCTCACCAGAAGCTAGGCAGATGCTGGATCATGCTCTGAACTTCCATTGGTTGACAGCACTGTTCTTCTAGAGGGACCAGGCTCTATTCTCAGTACCCACATGGGGGCTCACAACCATCTGTATCTCTAGTTTCAAGATTGCTACCCTCTTCTGTCCTCCAGAACATGGCACACATACTGTGCACAGACCAATATACACGCAAAATATGTATCCCCATACCCATACATATAAAATAAAACAAACTTTTAGCTAGGTAGTGGTGGAACACACCTTTAATCCCAATACTCGGGAGCCAGAGGCAGGCAGATCTCTGTGAGTTTGAGGCCAGCCTGGTCTGCAGAGCAAATTTCAGGGCTAAGCAGAGAAACCCTGTCTGAAACACAACAAAAACAACAACCGCAAACAAATAAGATAAACTTTTAAAAAGAAGAGAGTTCTTTTCTCTATAAATTACTCAGTCCTTTGAACCAAAAAAGGGCATCCCTACCTGATGCAGAGCATCTGCCTTGTCGGTGTGCTTCTGTCGGCTGCGCTGGGCAGCCAGCCGGTTCTTCTGCTTCTTCTTCAACTGCTTCTGACACTCCTCAGGGTCCTGTGAGGCATGAGGCAGAGGGCTCTGGGGTCCTGGCAGTGGTTTGCCCCCTCTACCATGATCAGCCATTTGGAAAGTTGTCTTTATCAAGTCTAGTCCTTAGAAGCCCTATTCTCATAAAATGTTTCCTCCCATGGTGCCACAGCCCCCCTGAAGACACCTCACTCCTTACTGTAAAGCCAACCCTATCCAGTGTCCAGCTCACAGCTTACATAAGTAGGGAGGCTGAGATTCAAACTCAGAACTCAAACACACATTCTCAAAAACCAGCACTGACTTTTCAGAGTACAGCGATCTCAATGGCGCAACAGAGGCGCACGGTGCTTCCCCACTGTCCACAGAGGGGGGAGAAGCTGAGAGGGCACACACCAGAGTGAGCTGCCATTTCTATAACCCAAGGGTTGACCTTTCTAGCCCAGAGCTCTACAAAGATGGGGTCAGGGCCCAATGCAGTTCCATGTGCTCATGCCCACCTCAGTCCCAAAGTGCTGGTATTCACTTACTCAATGAGCATTTCTTTTTTAGTGTGTGTGTGGTATATGTATAGAGCCCAGAAAGACAAAATAGCCCAGGCTAGCCTGGAACTCTCTATGTAGCACAGGCTTGCCTTGAGCTTCTAACCCTCTTGCCTCCAAGTACAAAATGCAAGTACAAGTACAGGCATGTGCTACCACTTATAGAATATGCTCGTTTTCTTATGCATAAATATAAATACAAAACAGACACATTATAGTATGCTCAGAAGCCATCCACCCTATTTTAATTTTTTAAATCATGTGTATGTGTGTGTGATGTCATGTATGTACATGTGAGTGTAGGTACCTTGGCCAGAAGAGGGTGTTAAATCCCCTGAAGCTGGAGTTACAGATGGTTTGGTTATGAGTTGTCCCATGTAGATTCAGGGAACCAAACTCAGGTCCTCTCTAAGAGTAGTAAGTGCTCCCTAACAGGTGAGCTATCTCTCTAGCCCCCATCTTATTTTTTTGAGGCAGAGTCTCTCACTGGCCTGGGACTCACCACTAAGGGTAGGCTCCCTGGTCATCACATAGAGATCTGCCTGTGTCTCCTTCCCCGGTGCTTGACACCCTACCAGACTTTTAAATGGATGCTAGGAATCAAACTCAGGTCTTCAGACTAAGTCATCTCCACATCCACATATATTAAGTACCTACTATGTACCAGGCACTATGCTAGGAGGGCACAGAAATGGGAAGAAAAACAAAGAAACAAAAAACAAAACAAAACAAACAAAAAAAAGAAACAAACAGGCAAAATGGCCAGACATGGTGGTGCCTGTCTATAATCTCAACAGAAGGATTAGGCCAAGGCCGGGCTTGGCTACATAGTAAGGCCAGGATGGGATACATGAGATCTTTTCTCAAAGAAACAACAAGGAAAGTAGGAATGTCGCTTGGTGGGGAGTATTTGCCTAGCTTAGAAGGGGCTTGAGAGATGACTCAGTGGTTAAGAGCACTGGCTGCTCTTCCAGAGGACCTGAGTTCAATTCTCAGTACCCACATGGCAGCTCACAACTGTCTGTAACTCCAAGATCTGACATTCTCACACAGGCATACATCAAAGAAAACGCCAATGCACATAAAATAAAAATAAATATTTTTAAAAAGATGTAGCAAAACTCATGCTCACACTGAAATGGGATGACTGCATAGAACCAATGAAAGGGGGGTTTTCAGTTGATAGCTCTGAACCTTCCAACCCTAGGGACCATGAAAATTAAATGGAACCTGAGGCCAAATGCCCACAGCTGGACCCTCCATCGATCACCCTGCCCCAGGCAAGACCCCAGCCACCCTGGGCGAGGATGCCTCATGTTCCTTGGTTTGTGGCTTCCCACTGGCTGTATCTTCCTCAGGGCAAATTCAACCCCAGGCTGGGAAAAGAGTCAGAGAGAAAAGAAGAAAGGTGCGTTTGTCTGAGGAGAGAGGATCTGGAAAACACAGCAGCACGGTGAGAACACGAGAAAAGACGGAACAGGAGCAAGCAGGTCTGCAGGATCCATGTCCAAAGCTGGAGGCTGGTCTGCAATGTGAGAGCTGGGAAGGCTCCATTCCCATCCCCAGGAAGAACTGAACCCAGAGATGGGAGTGTGGAGCCAAGTCCCAGGTCACGCAGACATGGTGTGGGGCTGGGACCAGAGCTCCTCACTGCATCCTCCCTCGTCTGTGCCCTGGGACCCTTGGCCGATTTCTCTCCATGTGTTTCCTTCCTAGTCCCCTGTACTCACTGTCCCAGTCAGCAGCGCACCACTCCCACAGAGTTGCATGGCTTAGGCAGGGGGAGCAGAGGTTCAATCTGGTCCTGTGTGTCCCCTCAGCAGCTTTGCCCTCCCAGTGCCCTCTGGAGGCTCAAGGAAGTGGTGACTCTTTAAATCCCCAGTGACCACTCCGCCCCCAGCACACCCAGTTTCAGTTTCTCCTAAAGCTATCAGCTGCCCAGAATCCTTGGCTCTTGCTTGCTCACGTGGCTGGAACTTCCTAACATGAGCTGCCTTCCGGTGGCCCCTTCTCTGGAAGAAGGCCGGTGGAACAAGACCGCATCCTGGGGAGAGCTGGCAGGCTGCCAAGGATAGAACCTGAAGGAGAAGCAGTGGGGTGGTGGGGGTGCGCATGAAGGAGCCCTTGTCAACTCTTGGGGAACCCAGGTCCACAGTCCATATTGGAGCTGTGCAGCTTTGGGGAGGTGACTCACCTTCTCTGAACTTCAGTTTCTTCACCTATAAAGGATGTGGTAGGATGGAACAAATTCCCAGACTTGGGGCTGAGTGTGGTTGGTGTGGTGCTTACTCTACAGAAGCAGAGGCAGGAGGGTCACCCATGAGTTTGAGGTTAACCTGGGGTACAAAGTAAAAGTTCCCAGTCTTGACAAAAGAACTGAGACAATGCACCCACTCCAAACTCTCTGAGACTGATGCAGCAGGCATGACTGCAAAAATAAACAGTCAGGACTGCATGGTGGTGCACACCGTTAAACTCCAGCTCTGCAAGCAGAGCCAGGAGGGTGTCTCTGGGTTAGAGACTGGCAACTTACAGGGCAGCCAGTGCTACACAATTAAGACCCTGTCTCTATAATGATGATGATTGCCAGGCAGTTTTGTCCTGTGCCTTTAATCCCAGCACTTGGAAGGCAGAGGCAGGCAGGTCTCTGAGTTTGAGGCCAGCCTGTCTACAGAGTGAGTTCCTGGACAGACACAGAGAAACTGTCTCAAGGGGGAAAAAAAATGATGATGATGATGATAAAGAAAAAAAATTTTTTTTTGCTTTTTGTTTTTTTTTTTTTTTTTTTTCGAGACAAGGTTTCTTTTTATTGCTTTGGAGCCTGTCCTGGAACTCGCACTCTAGACCAAGCTGACTTCGAACTCACAGAGATCAGTCTGCCTCTACCTCCTGAGTACTGGGTACTGGGATTAAAGGTGTGCACCACAATGCCCAGCTAATGAAGAAATTTTAAATTTATTTATTTATTTTATATTTATTATTTTTTCTTATTTTACATATCTATCTCAGTTCCTCTCCCTCCTCCTTCCTTCCTTCCTTCCCTCCCTCCCATGCCTCCCAGAAAATTTAAATTTAATTTTGTGTGCATGAGTGTTTTGCCTATGTGTATGTCTGTGCACAATATATGTGCCCAGTGAGCTCAGAGGTCAAAAGAGGGCTTTGGACCCCCTGGATCTGGGGTTTCAGATAGTTGTGAGCAGCCAAGTAGGTGTTGGGAATTGAGGCTGGGTCCTCTAGAAGAACAGCCAGTGCTTTTAACAACTGAGCCATCTCTAGTTTGTTTGTTTGTTTTGTTTTAAGGTGCTAGTGGTAGATGCCTATAATCCCAGCATTTGGGAAATGTAGACAAGAGGATCAGAAGTTCAAGCCCATTTATAGCTACACAGAGGTGGAGGCTAGCCTGGGCTATAAGAGGCAATGTCTCTTAATAAATGAGTAAGTAAATAAAAATAAAAGAGCACTGCAATTGATTAGCAATGTCTCCCATGCCATGATTGACTAGTGATTTCTATAATGAACAGAGCACAACAATCCTTTGCCTTCTCTAGAACTGGTCCTGAAGCCAACTTTATAGTTGGAAGACTTGACTGAGCCCTGGTGCTCTGTCCACCAGGTTTCTGGCATGGAGCTTCATTGTGCTCATCCACTTTCTGGGGATGATGAAACCAGTCCTAATTTAGAGCTGTTTGAAGGGAAAGAATGGGATGAGGAGAAAGCCCTTTCCCTATCATAAAGTACTGCCAGGCTAGGTGCGTCCCCTTTTCTGAGACTAGTAATGAATCTGGATTCTAGGCTCATTGATGTACGCTTATAATTAAGACTTCTGTGTAGGTGACATTAGATATGACCCTGCCACCTTGCTTCTGAGAGCCTTGGGGGCAGAGGCTGAAATGGAGTAACCCCCTACAATGAGGCTGCCCATTTCTTGGGATTATTTTTGTTTCCCAGACGTCAGACTAGGGCCGCTGGCTTGAGGCATGCTCCTGAGGGGCTCATTAAGCCAGACTGTGAACTCCACTGGGGGAGAAATCAGGAGGAGGCTTGGGCATGATGTCACCCCAGAAAACACCTTTCAGGGAGGCTAGGGCCTAATGTCCCTACTTCAGCCTATAGCTCTAACTAGAGCTAGATTCCCTGACCTCCTAGACCAGTGGCTTCCAGTACAAGGTAGACAGTTTGCAGGACTGTGTCCTCCTGGGAGACCACACCCAGGGAGCAGAAAGGGAGGTGCTTATGGCTTGTTCTCCAAGAGGAGGGACAGGCAGGGGGTACAAGGTAATATTTAACCTTAAATGATCCTTCAAGGCTTCCCTGAGAAGTGGATGAACTCCCAGGCAAGTGGAGTCACACACTCTGACCCCTCACTCAGAATTCACCTCACACCAACACAATACTATAGCCTAGGTGGCTTAAACATTTACTTCCCATGGCTTTGGATATTTAAAAAAAAAAAAACAAAAAAAAAAAAAAAAAAAAAAAACACCCAAAGATGCAGCAGATCCAGCTCCTGCAGAGCATTGCCAGGGTCTCATTTTGAAGCCCAGGCTAACTTTAAACTTACAGAGAAGCCTTTATCTTAGCCACCAGGGTACTGGGATTACAGGTATGTGGCACCAAGTTTGGTAGTCTTAATGGTGGTGCTTTTTTTAAAGGATAGGTCCTCGCTAGGTAGCCCTGGCTGGTTTGGAACTCTACATACACCAACTTGGCTTCAAACTTACTGCCTCTGCCTAGTGCCTAGTAAGTCCTATACCTGGTAATAGCTGCTTTTTCTCCTCCTTCTCCTTTTTGAGCCAGGATCTTATATGTAGTCCAGGCAAGCCTCCTGGGACAGGAATAATAGCAATCCTGCCTCAACTTCCTAGTGGTGCAACTACAGGAGTGTGACACTATACCTAACTGAAGGGCTGGTATTTAAAACATGAGTTCGGCAGAAACATAGACATTTAGAACATTCCTGAAGGGGAGTTATGGTCACCTACGGGGGGGGGGGGGCACACAGCTGGAAGGAGAACAGAATCTCTCTCTTCCAAACCCTCATTCATCTCCACTGAGCTCTTGGGGGGGGGGGCTATGAATCCAGCAGTCCTGATAGATGGAACCTGGGGGGGCGGGGTCTCCTGATCCCTGAGGTACAAAACGAGTTGGCTGTGTTGTGCTGTCTATATGGCCCCTGTGACTCAAACACTGCTCTCACAAAACAAATGCTCAGTGAACAAATGAATGAATTAAAGCCCAGGCAGCTTGACTCTGTACACCCAGGATCCCCAAAATTTTCTTGAGAAAAGAAACTTCTGGAAGGCTCACTCCCATAGGATCTACCTAGATACCTGGTGGACTCTATTAGCCAAGTTCCTCAATTCGCCTGTGTGGAAACTGAGGCACAGGGAAGGGACCATTTGGCAGAATCTAGGATGTGTTGATGCTTTGTCCCAATGCTTCCTTGTGTTGGGATAGCTGCTCAGGCCTCCAGCTGTGCAGGGCTCTCTTGGTTTAATTCTTCCCATTAAGTGCATCCCTTGTTTTAGGCCTGGCCTCCTCAGCCCTTGAAGTGAATGGAAGAAAAGGAAGTTGAGGTTGAGCTGACTTCTCATGTAGAATGGAGGGCCTGCTGACAGCTAAGCCGTAACTGCTCACAGTCTGAAACTCAAGTGTGTGGGCACTCCTATTGGGGAGGCCACTTCCTGCTGGGGAGGTCAGGGAAGGTAACAGCTGTTTGGGAAGTACATTAGAGAACAAGTAGGTTCTGTGCCATGTCTGCAAGCTGTCCTACTAGTCACTGGATTAACCTCCGTGTTTCCTTTATAAAATGGACTAATAAGGGTTTAATGAGTGTCTGGAGTGATGGCTCAGCAGGTAAGAGCACTGGCTAGCTCTCCAGAGGACCTGGGTTCTGTTGGGAGATTTTTTTTTTCCATCTAGTCTCAGTCCCACTAAAATGGCTTGACTTCAAAATTTAAGTCAAAAGATATATTGGAGAAGATGTTTTGCTTTTGTTTCCATAGGAAATGAGAAGCTGTAGATTCATTCTAGGTTAAGAAAAGAACGTTTGATTGAGGGAGAACACCTGAAAACTCTCTGAAGGGGACGGATGGCTCAGATGATCCAACATTTCAGAGCACCTCTGTTGCTCTGAATTCTGCATCCAGTACAGGTTCAAAGTTGCTGGCTGAAATGATCCAGTTTCACAGGATACTCCGATCAGAACTTGACTATGATCATAAATTTTCTTTGGGTCCCCATAAGATTACCAGCACCCCCAATCAGCAGGAAGTAGCCTAGAAAACTGTGTCCATATTCCCAGAAGGGGATTATGGATGTTTGTCTTTGTTTAGTGTGTTGGTTGCAAGTTGATATGGATAATGGTCAGGAAAAAAGCTAAACAAAGGAGATTAGATTCAGGGTTCCTGTTCTGAAAAGGAAAAGGGGGAATGCTGTGGGATAATGCTCTTGTACACTGTAAAGAATTGTCACTTGTATTGGTTTAATAAAACGCTGATCGGCCAGTAGCCAGGCAGGAAATATAGATGGGGCTACCAGACCAGGAGAATTCTGGGAAGAGGAAGGCACAGATGTAGTGGCCAGCCAGACACAGAGGAAGCAGGCCATAAGAATTATGGGTTAATTTAAGTTGTAAGAGTTTGTTAATACTAAGCCTGAGCAATAGGCCAAATAGTTTATAATTAATATGGACCAAACAGTTTGTAATTAATATAAGTCTCTGTGTGTTTATTTGGGACTGAATGGCTGCAGAACTGCGTGGGACAGGAACCTTTGTCAACAGGGTTCAATTCCCAGAAACCACATGGCAGAAAACAACTGTCTGTAACTCCAGGATCTGACACCCTCACACAGACAAGCATGGAGGCAAAATACCAATACACATAAAAAAATTTTGTTTTAAATTTTAAAAAGAGTTTGATG